GAAATGCTCTGCAAAAAGTCTTGCAAAAATTGGCAGCGAAACGGCCGAAAAGCGGTTTTTTTCTTTGTCTGCTCTCCGCATTTCGCGCTCTCTCTCACTGGGAAAGATTTTTAATTTTTTATGGGCCAAAACTTTCAAAAAACGAATGAAACTTAAAATCTGTTTCAAAAATTTGATGCAGGTCCAAGTGCTCCATCTAAAAAAGCTCACTGTTAATATTGAATTGCAATATTTACACGAAAGCATGCATAAATTATTTGCAACTTCATAACGGTAGCATTTACAGTTTTAATGTCATTCCGGGCCAAAAACCATTCCCCAACCCACGGTTGTCATTAAAAAATCATAACTGTACTCCTAAAATTAAATTTGCCGTGTGACGCGGCCTCGGCTACAATCTCCGGCCTTCCCGGTAGGCGCTATTGTATTTGTATTTTGGAATGTCATTTGGATCTTTTGGGGTCCGAACTCTAACGGAAGTGTAAGTCGCTTTTTCCGAACTTTTTTCTCTTAAAATGTAACAAGGATGGGCTGAAATCCACTACAATTTTTTGACAAACACTACAGTTCCGGTGGGGGGGGGGGGGAATCGTAGCTGTTTATATTTTTTATATTTCTCGGCGTTTGTACTTTACGGTTGAACCTTTGGAATCTCACCCAATTTCTCAGCCGGTGAGACTTTTCGTTCGCCGAACTTGGACATTATTGTTACGGTACATAAAGGGGATTTTGTCGGAAAAATAGGGTAATTCGACAAACTTTTTTAGAAGATATGTACTTGTATTTATATAGAGTCTATATTCGATGGTCGATTAAACATTTCACGACCGTAAAATCAAGTCTTGGTCAAATGCAAAAAAAAGTTGACCTTGAATTTACGCGACCTCTAATCGACTGAAAAGCAGCATAAACTTGTAAAATTACGAAAATGCAAATTTCTGCGAGTTTCCCAACTCGCGTGTTGCAGAAACCACCCAGGTTCTGTGAATGGAAGCTCACACGATGTGGTTCCATTTTAGGAGCTTTGGCTTTTATTCTTAAACGAATTTCAGGCAACACTTCTACCATTTGTCGGGGAAATAATGAGCGCAATTTCGCTGCCCCAGTCGCTTTGTTGGAGTGAAATGAAGTCTGATTTTTCCGCGGTATAATTCATTTGCTCGGCGGCGATGTGATTTTCGATACGACAGAGTGCTCACTATTTTACCGACAGACTGATAAGAAGGAAAGAAAGGTCTTGTGTTTGTATTACGCTAGATTTAACCGACTTTATGGTATTTTCCGACATGAATATCATGTCAAAAGGCACTCAATGCTTTCCCAAATATTTTTCATAATTATATTTTCCCGACAAGCTGATATAAGGAAAAAATTTCACCATTCGGAAAATTCGAAAATACGTTTAAGCTTTTTTCTCAATCGTCTCGATTTGATGACTATTCAACCGCCTTTGGAGATAACTACTAACAAGCTGAGTCTTAGTGCAAGTCCGTTTGCAAACCCGCTTTAGTAATGTTTCTCGTTTGCACTATGCAAGTAAAGGCCATTCCCAAAAAAGCCTAATGCAGCTGCAACAAAAAGAAAAGAAATTGTACAATGTAAAGTCAGCTTTTGTTTTCTTACAGTTCATATCGCCAAAATCACTCCAGTGGCTTTGCGGACTGAATGGTAACAAGCTGATTACTGGTAGTAACATTTTAGTAACATTTCCTCTTCGGTAGAAAAGGGTCACCTTTCTAAAATAGATATTTCATGTTTGAACCCGCAAAAAAAGTCTAATTATGCCATCTTTCGGACAAAATGTCTTGTCGCACATTGTCTATATGTAACGTCAAAGAAAAAACAACCTAAAAATAACTTATTACAGTACCTGAACCCTTCCTTTGCTACTCCAAAAAACACACTATACGGACAGACGCGGCTCACTAATTAGGTTGTTTTGAAATCCGGGGTGTTACTTTCTGTCTTGGCGTGTGGGTGAGTTGTTGCCCACAAAAGTGGGATGAGATTGGGCGACTTAAAAATGATTTCCCTACAAACCCTCGCAAATACAAAGTAGGTTTCGCGGAACTATGAAATGTTTCTGCGCCGGCGAATGCCCAAAAAAGTCAGTGTAAAATTTATGTTTTGTGGCCAAAGGACAGGGCGGAAGACACTTGTGAGGCAGAAGCCGACAAGCAAAGAGATTGAATCACAGTTTTTAACAGTCTGTCGGGAAAATAATGAGCACAATTTTGCTGCACCGATCGCGTCGCTGAAATGAAAGCAATTTGATTTTGCCGCGACACAATTTATTCTTTTCTCGGCGGAAATGTGATTTTCGATCCGACATAGTGCTTATTACAGTCTTTCAGGTGGGCAGAAGAGATTTGAAAAATGTGACACAAATTATTTCGACCTCCCAAAATGTTACCCTATTGTGGACTTTGGAGTGCGGAACAAAAAGTTCGACATGGGCGAAACCCGTGGTTGTGCGTCATAGGTGAAAAAAATATGAGTTTAACCGGAATTCCTCTTATAAATACTACGTGTTGTTCTGTCGGGAAAATAATGAGCACTCTGTCGAATAGAAAATCGCGGAGAAAATGAATTGTGTCGCGGAGAAAATCAAATTTCTTTTCACCTCAGCGATGCGGTCTGCGCAACGAAATTGTGCTCATTATTTTCCCGACAGACTGATATCGTGGCTGCTCTTTCAAAGTGCAAGATAAAATTTGCATAATTTGACCTCCTGTAAGCAAAATTTTAAGTAAGGGTCGGAGCGTTGTGATTTAGCACAAAAAATTGCAAAAATTAGTCATCCTCATGACAAAATTCAAAAAAAAAACAAAAAAATTGTCCTCGGCCTTCTATCAGTCTGTCGGGAAAATAATGTGGATTTTTCGTAGCAAAAATCTCAAGCCTCGCCGCAGTCTCGCATCAAGTTCTTCATCTTGGTTAGCCTGTGTAAAGCAATGACGGGCGATTAGTCTCTCCAAATCCACAATATTTTCTCGACAGACAAATACTCTCTTTTGGGCTCTCTACAACAAAAGTTGTCCAGTCCTTCATGATGTTCCTTTAAAAATTCTTTCCAGTTTTTGAGGGATGAATTTCCAAAAAAATCGTATCCAAATCACGACTCTAATAGAGAATGTATTCATCAACTTTTTGCAACCAGATTTTTGCCCTCCACAACAGGCGCCCTTGCGTGTGACAAGTTTTATTAGGTAATTAATCCGTTGGCATTTCCCGGCGCTTGACTTTTTTCATAACCGCCGAACAAAAGGGCCCTAATTCGCAAACCAATTTACTCTAGTATTTCCACTTCGAACGGCGGATGATGCAATCGGGTTCATCGAAAAAACAAACAAAGTGGAATGGATCCATCCGTGAACACCATGCATAATGTCCTACCGTGTGATGAGTTCGAACTCCGGGACCAGAGTATATGGACTCCGCGGGAAAGTGGGATAGGATGACGTTCGCGGCCTGACAAAGCAGTTTCTTCAGCGCTCCCAAAGCAGGTGCTACAGTAATATGGAACGAGGCAGAGGGCGTTGGGGGGAAAAAGGGCTTTGCAATGAGAGTTCGCGTAGGGCGAGGCTTCGATTTTGATGGAATTTGGCGCAAATTTAAGTTAATACTTTTTAGGACATATATGAGATTCATAACTCGCGCTTTGCAGAAGCAGTTGAGATTTTTTGTTCGAAAGTTGGCCAGAAAATTACAGTTTATTTCGAATTTTGGTGTGAAAATTTTCATGTCTGTTTCTATCGTAGACAGTAATGTTTCCCAAAAAAACCTATTTTTTCCATATAACATTGGGAAAAAACGGTCAAAAAATGTTTTTCTCTTTGAACGCTCTCCGCGTTTTGAGTATTCTTTTGGGTGCAAAGATTGTTGAATATTTTGGCTGACTTCTGCAAGAAAACTAAGATTCTGCAGAGACAAAACGGTGAATGTGTCAAGTATTTGTTGCTGAAAATTTCAGCATGCGTTTTGAAAGGGCTCCCGAGATATTCAATAGTTTTTGCAGGCAAGAGATGAAGGAAATGGGGAGAGACAGTCAAAGAAACGAAATTTTTTAGGGTTTTGTGCATCCACAAGTCCACAGACATCTTTTTTATGCGACTATTTTTCCCTGATCCTCAAAAAAAATCTACTTTTTCTTCGCCTTGAAAACTGTAAAAAAATTAAAATTTTTTGTCATAAAGATCTCCATAACATTTGCAGAGCACAAACTATACCTCTCCCGTAGCTCTTAGAAAATTCCCGTCTTAATATAAAGTGTGATACAAATGAATATTTTGAACCTTGACCGTCTGTTTGGCAACTTAATTTCTCGTTATTACCACCCAAACAGTTTCTTTCTTTAGTACAAAATCTTTGCAATACATATTCCTCATACGGTCTGTATATACGGTTCCCGAAGCGCAGACAGCCCGCGGCGGAAGTCTCCACATTGTACTATTTCATCGAGTCCATTGGGGTCTTAATGAAACAACCTTCCCGAAATGTATGCGATCATGTGTATCGGCGCTTCTCCCTCTCTCCCCATCTTCATCTACATTTCGCCGTGACTTGTCATCATTTCTGGGGCACAAATCTCGGCACAACTCTTTCCTTCTCCCCTCTCTCTTGAACCCTGAATCCTCGGCCGAAACCCATGATGGTGTACAGTTACATTGTGCAGGGACGTAATCTTTGCAAAAGTCACATCATTTCTAAAAATATTCGCCTACAATTGGGGCCGCTTCTCTGCCTGGTCTTTTGCGCCCTTCTTGCGCCCCTGACCACAGATTAGGGATGGGCACAGGTGTGTGTGCTGCGAACGCAAGCCTCCGAATTTGAGAAGGCAAACGGTCAAACGGGTGTCAAGAAGTTTCAGGCCCAACTATGGCACAACATTAAACTCAATTTTCGAATTCGCCTGTTTTGAATACATTTCGCGTAGAAGCACAAACGTATTGAACCTTGTATTTTCCTGAAAATTGAGGCGAATTGAGCGTTCACGAAGAATGGTACAAAGTTTTGAGCCTGTACTCTGCGGCAAGGACCAAGATATACATAGTAGTGTGTTTGCAAGTTGCTAGAGGGATTTCGGCGATATGCACTGTGCAAAAAGGTCAGCGACTGCCCAGAAAAGTCTATTGCACAGTGCGAAGTGAACTTTTGTTTTAGCATAGAGTGGGTCGCCGAAATCACTCCAGGCACTTTGTAAACGGCCTAATATCTCTCTTAGGCTCTACTCGTTGCTTCCGATCGTCTCTGAACCGCCGAATATCTCCATTGAGCTTGTCCTCAGCTGCAAAAAATATACGCAAAACCATTTTTTTTTCTCCTGGCCATATCTTTGTTTCCCATAGTGCATGTCGCTGAAATCACTCCAGCAACTTTGCCAACGGACTAGCGGATAGAAAAAAATGAGATTTTTTCAATTTTAAGAAGAAGAAGAAGTCACATTATTTTGACACATAGTATGTATATATTGTACGTACACACAGATTTTTTTTCAAAAATAACACAAGCAAAATGTCGCCAAGATAGGACCAGAAATTATTCTCTACGTTCGTCTCTCAGTTGTTTTTATGGTATCAAGAACTTTCCGCTCGAAAACAAATCTCTCCCCTACAAAAAAAGGCAACAAATCATGACTAAAAAAGCAAAGCAGCTTTTCTGTTGTCTATTTCTCTTTGCAATCGTAGCCAAAAAAGCTGTTAAAAATCTCAGTCGTTTCTGGAAAGCATAAGCTAAAATTTTCATATTTTTAAAGACGCTCAACACAGGCAATGCCCAGCTAATCTGATGAGAATCTCTTTGCCTTTTCGACGATTTCCCCTTCGAACAAAAGTCGAGATGTTCGAGAAACCAGTTTAAGCGGCCGCTGACTTTTTTCGACTTTTTTGCAATTCCCTTAAGTACATATTGCACACCACTTTGATCACGGCTAATCATCGCCAAATCCGCTACAATCTCGGCACAATCGTCTGATCTTTCGCGGCCGGATTACTGTATGGCGTGTTCTTTGGTTACGGCGGGCCCCCGGCCGCCGCCGCCGCCGCACCGGCGACGAACGAAATCTTTTCTCGGAGGCGCGCGCTAGCGGTGGGCGGGGCTTGGCATATGCCAGGAGGGGAGAAAAGGCGACGAGAGGGGAAGAAGAGAAGAAGAAGCGGGAGAAAAAAGCCACCCGGTTGTAGCCTCGCGGAGGTCACTGGGTTCAAAATTTGTTTTTCGGTGCAGAGCGACGTAGATGAGATCGCTTGGGGCGGGGCCAGCCGCGTCCACTGGTCGGTTTCGCCACGAACGTTGGGGGGCTCAGTCCGCCGGAACCTCCGTTCCCGCGTTGTAGGGGTACTTTTGCCGTGATTCGGCGCTGCCACAGGGCATGAAAATTTCCTGTCTGGAGGTTGAAGCTCATAATGGGGATGGAAAAGCCTTTTATTTTGCGATTTGCTTAGTCATTGCTTTGGAATGCATGTAAAACTACTGTTTTTTGACGAATAGTTGTCTTGAAAATATTTATTTACTTCTTTGCAATTCGCCGAACGTGTTGCGATCAATTTTAATTCGTTTTACAGTAAATTATGCCCTCTGACAGACGTCGATCGCTATAGTTTTTCGCACGTGACTGTTTTATGGTCTATTTATGCTTTAAAAAATATTTTTTTTTTACATTTTTCATCACACCAGTTTACCACCTTATATCCCGTATAACATGCGAGAGTTTTCGCAATTTTCTCGGAAGCAATTACACAAGTTTTGGCCAAGTTTTCATCAAGTTTCCGCCGAGGTTTGGCCAACTTGATTAGCCTCCAACTTTGTTGGGTTGGTATTACAGCGGCGTGTATTTTTAGCACGAAATGGTTTCCTATTATTTTCGCGTTTTGTGTAATTAAAACTTTTCCGCCTAAAGCGAACCTTGGCACGCAACGCCGAAACGACTTACCGTGCGAGAACTTTTCCGACGTTCTTTAGACTTGGGATCGGAATATAATATGTGTTATAAATGTAGAATTTGGGGGGTTTGGTATAACGAGAAACAAAAAAAAAATTGTGAGCGGTGATTTTGATGAAATGGGGTGAAAAAACAATGTTTATATTCTGCTAGTCCGTTGGATAGAGTCGCTGTGATTTTTGGCGTTTGCACTGTGCAGAAAACGTCAGGCGACAGCCCAAAAAGCCCGTTGCATAGGGCAAGGTGAACTTTTGTTTTCTCATGTCTCCGGAATCACCTCAGCGATTTTTCGAAGCGAACTGTTAGGTTGGGCGAAAAGTTATGACGATTTTCTTGCAAAACTTTGAAGCCGATTATTTCCTAGCTCAGATCCCTTCTTATTTCAACATACCTATAGACTAATAGAAGGCTTATTGAAGCTTCATCAAGGGTATATTACTAAGCCGTACGGCATAGCCGAGATTTTCTATTGCTAAAAATTCGGAAGTGCCTCGATTCGTGCAGTTTTGGAAAACCGAACGATTTTTTTTACAAAAAAGGTGATAAAAGTGCAAAATTTTTGCGATTTTAGGGCGGAAAGAATTGGTATTCTCTACGAAGTGTAATAAGCACACAAAAAATTTTTCTCTGTTTTTCTCGCCGTCTCTCCTCATTTCCTAGTCTCTCTAAACATCGTTGAATATCTTGGCTCTGCCTGAGAAAGGTAAAGTAAACTTTTGCAAAATTAATTAGTGTCTCAGTTAGACTGATCATACCAAATTTAAAAAAAAATCCGAGAATTTACCGGTCGATAATTTTGAAATTTTTAAAAATTAATTTTTCAAAGTTTTAGACATCTTTTTTTATTTTTGAAAATTTAATCTCATCAATTTGAGAGTCTGAATTTCTTGCGATCAATAATTTTTTTTTGATTCTCGCGCTGTCAGTTTTATATCTTCAAAAAAAAAACGAAAATTTTCTCGCTTTGCAGGCACGTGTAATGTCCATTGCTACGCCTACGAGTATAATGTTGATGTTTGCGTTCACATTCCGACCGATTGTCTCACACTTGGACTTCCACCACAAGCACAATGTCGGCAAATACGTGTCGCCGAAGACGGTCGTCACGCTGAAGAATGGGAAGGTGCAGGGATACACGAGCGAACTCAACCATCGCGCCATTCATGTGTACAAGGTAGGGAGGGGGTGCAGAGGAGCGGGAATTTTTAATTCTGAATATATAGCATTATGTTTGCAACAAAAAAAAAAAATTGAAAATTTGAAAGGAACCCAAATTTTGGTATCAAAAAGTATCATCAGGAGAAAATAATTTTGCTTTTTGATAAAACAAAAGACCATACTATGAATTCAGAATTTTCATAGCTACAAAAAAGTATCAAAAGGTATCCTAGCGGCATTTTCTTTTGAAAAAATAACGCTTTTCCGGTCCAATTACAAATTTTGGTATCAAAAAGTATCACAAAGACAGAAATCATGAACACTTCAAAAATTAAAATGGCTATGATGACTTTTCATACATTTTACGGTAAAAAAAGCTCTCAAAATGTATCACATCATCTTCTCGTTTAAAGAAAAAAAGCTTTTCTTCCAACTCTTGGGACTTTTCGACGTTATCAAGTAAATTTTGTCCTCTTTTTTTTGCTGAAACTTTAAAATTTCTTTTCCACTTTTTTTGCGCATTTGGACTTATGGTTCAATATTTTTTAATAACCAGGCTGTGAGAGGAGAAAAGGGATTTCCAATCAGGATTAAGCTGCGATTTCCGTTTGAGATTTTCATTTCCTCGTCCTGGCTCTAATAAACTCAAAGGAAAACCATAAAAAAAGTAACACGTTCAGGGGCAATTAATTCGCTAAATTACTTCCTAAAAGTTCAACAAAAAATATAATGAAAAATTGAAGCAGCATTCTAAGAATCCGATTTCCAGGGTATCCCCTATTCGGAGCCGCCCGAAGAGGAGTATCGGTTCGAGAAGCCGACGCCCAAGGAGGAATGGGACGGCTACTGGGACGCCACCGAATATGGTCCCAAATGTCCACAATGGGATTCCAATTCGAATAGTTTTAATAACGGTGCTGAAGACTGTCTTTCATATAATGTGTTCGCGAGAGCGGAGTGCCTTGTAAGTTGGTTGAAATTTCAAATTTTTTTACTCAATTTAAGCTTTAAAGTCATCAAAATTCGTTTTTCACCAACGCCACCTAACCCCCGTAACCCCATCTTATGCGCTAACATTTCAGACAAATTCCTGTCCCGTTATTGTATTTCTTTCTACAGATGCTCAGGCCAAAGAGCGGCGGATTATCAACCAGTTTTTGGCGCGCGAGTTTGTCGTCGTGACCTTCAACTTTCGCTCCGGGATTCTCGGTTTTCTGAATTTGGGCGTCAGCAAGGATGACGCGCCGCTGAACGTCGGGTTTAATGGTGAGTACGTTTTTTGTTTTGCCCTTTCTTTTGTCATCCCCACTTCCGCAATGCCGTCATCTTGTCTCATTTCCATTTTTATTGTTTCATCGGCAAACATTCTATTAAATTAGGGAGTAAAATTAATTTCCCGCTCTCTACAGATATCACTCTGGCCTTGGAGACGATTTCTTCTGAGATCGGAAAATTTGGCGGAGATCCCTCTCAAATTACCGTAATTTCGGAGCAATCCAACATTGTCGAATACCTAATGGCGACCGGCGCAAAAACCTTCGCGAAAGCGATTACAATTTCCACAACTCCGGCGCAACTCAACTCCCAACTCAACGCCGAGGCGAGTCGCGCCGTGATGCGCCAACTCGGCTGCGAACGACCCGATCTCGACTCGATTTTGAGCTGTTTGCGCGCCGTCGACGTTGCGGATTTGGTGGCAGCGGGTGTGCAGGGAATGTCGCCCGAGGCCGACGCCGACGCGTTGCCATTCGTGAGCCTGGAGTCGATGATGAAACAGTGGAGAGTAAGTCAAATATTTGCGGAGGTTGGGGGTAGGATTGCAATCTCGGCGGAAATAATGCATATTCTGGCATTGTAGCTTAGGAATTTCTGTTCCATCAGAAAGAGGAAAAGGTCATGTTTGCTGGGAATACGATGGAAAAATTTTCAAAAAATGTAATTTTTTTGTTAAAAAAGCCTCAAAAAACCACCATTTTCGCTATAACCCTTCAAAAATCATCATTTTCTGAACCTTTTTCTCATAAATCATCATTTTCTTGCAGGAAGTGCCTTTACTATTCATTCAACAAGTGCCTTCAACGCTCTCAACCGACATATCGAAACTGTGCCAAGCCTACACCCCCCTGTTCTCCTTCCCCGTGACGGTCAGCGAATGCGAGCGGCATTACAAGTCGGCCGCCGCCCTAATCAGCGACGTTTCGGCTGCATACGCCGAGAAAATCATGGCAATGAACAAACAGAATGGTATCGTTGTTAGTTTCGACAACAACGATGAAGATCTCAGCACTGTGTTCTTGGATTTCGCGTCACAGGATGCAGGTGAGCATTCGGGGATTAATGAGAGGGGAAAAGTGCGGAAAGCGGATTTGTTTGGCCTAAGGGGTTTAGTTTGTCGGCTAATTCACATGTTCAAGGGTGCGTTCCGGTCAAGGAAGATTAGAAAAAGCTTGTGATTGAGTTCAAAAGACTTATATTGGAGAAAAAAATTTGTAGGTATTCGGATAAAAGGAAGGTCTGGGATACCTTTTGCCACCTTTTTTGGGATTTTGAACATTCTAAAATCAACAGCAACTAATGAATTTGCAAAAACAAGCCTTTTTGAAGTCTGAATGATACCTTTTGATCCCAAATTTGGACACTTTTTGATCTGTTTTGCCACTTTTTCCGGCTACAACTTATTTTTGGCCCAAATTTTTTCCCTACACCTTGTAGCGCACATCATACCCAACTTCCTACCGTAGAGCCCACAAAAACTTCCGCTGTAACGCCATTTTGTTGCATGCGCTCGAAATACCCGCACTGACGTGGAACGAAATTTATGGAGCCGCTTCGAAAGCTGGCGTCATCTTGGCAATTTGGGGGAAGATAAAAGTAAATTTAAACCGCATGCCCTTTTCCCGCATCACGTTTGTTTTTAACGCGCGTGCTTGCCGAATGCGATGAACCCCTGGGCCGGGCCAATTAGGCCGTCTTTTGAATAAGACGGCGGTCGATTTCGCGGAAATATATGATAACAGAGATTAGTGCATTCCAGGAGCGCGTCCGAAATAGCCCGCTGCACGGAACAGGAAATCCCATCATTGCTGAATATGCGTATAATTATGCGGGTTGAAAATTGCGAGAGGAGAGAACCGGGGATTCTTCGCGGCGTTACGGTACGCGAAAGCTTGGGAAGAGAGGGGAAGACGGAGTGGGTGGGGGAGTTGGGATCAGAAATGATGACAAATCTTTTGGGGAAGGCATTGAGTGCTTTTTGAGATGGTATTCAAGCTAAGAAATGAATGCAAAGCAGGCTGAAGCTAGTGTAATTCAAACACAAGACCTTTCTTTTAGTATTTTCAGTCTGTCGGGAAAATAATGAGGGTTTTTTGCATCGAATCGCCGCTGGGAAAATGAATTATGTCGCGGCAAAATAGGCTTTCTTTTCACTTCAGCGACGCAATTGGCGCTGCAAGAGTATGCTCATTATTTTCCCGACAAAATGAAAAAAATATATTTTCCCCCCATTGCAAGACAGTAAGGCAAAATTTTGAGCATTAAAAATCAACCTAGCCCTACTCATTCACCCTTAACAAGCAAATTTTTCAGACCTCAACAAGATCAAGTCTGCCCTAGTGGCCCAAGGCGGCAAGCCCCTCGAACTCTCAAACAGCGCCGCGCTCTGGCTTCAAAACTCGGCCGATCGCTTCGTAACGAAACGCCATCTTCTCCGCATCCCCAACAACCCCAACCGTCATCGGCGCTATGTTGCGCGAGCCACGGACCCAAAAATGGAGCAATTCGCGCTGTACCTGTGCTGCGGCTTGGTGCTCTTCATCGTGTTGGTGGTCTGCTTCCTGGCGGCCGTTTTCTACAGACGGAATGTCTCGTTGCAAATCGCTTTGTGAACGTCTCCCTTGCAAAAATTGAAGCTTTTTTAAACACATCAGCTCTCCGATCTCACAGCCATCCCCCCGAAACGCCTTGAACGCCCTGTCTCTCGTAGTCGTCGTAGTCCGCGTAGCAATATGTCTTCTAGCCATACACGACCCTTGCCTTTTCCCACATATCCGATGAATCTCCCTTCTCTCACCCAGCCCCATACCTCACACACCGTACCGGTTGCAAAAAAGAAATGTTGGTTATTTATTGAACGAAAAGCGTCTTGCTCAGTTTTCTGTTGTTTGTACATATTGAGTTACATTGTTGTTGCATGTGATACATTGATGAGGATCACGGAATAAATTATATACATTTATGAATGTGCGGGAGATTTTTTGTCAGTCTGACGGGAAAATAATGAGTATAATGCCGCATCGAAAATCGCGTCGCCGCCGAGAAAATGAATTGTGTCGTGACAAAATGAAGTAGTTTTGAACTTCAGCGATACGATCGGAAAAATTTGGCATTATTTTCCCGACAGACTGTTATGTCGCTGTGCTAATCCCAAGGGCTCAGATTTATGAAAAGATGCTAACAGTCAGGCTTGGCGAGTGAGGGACACTTGGCCAATAGACAGCTTCCAGGCCCAACTGACTATGAGACTTTCGGTGAATATAGTGTTAGTATTTTCATAAAGTCCATGGACATAGGTATTTTGGCGGTACATCGTGCACAAAAAACCCAATTTTTGAAATTTTCACTGCATCTCAAAGTGAATGCCTGATTCTTGGCATTATGCCCAAGTTGAATTTGCAGCTTAGAAAGTCAGGGAAATTTATTGTTTTGCTCAAAACTTTTCTTGCAATGACAAAATAACTCTAACAAAGTTTGTAAAAATTTTACTTTTGATGCAGTTTCAGTCATGTTTGGTAATTTTAGCACTAATTTTATTTAAAATTATTTTTTAATTTCAAATCTACTATTTTCCATCGTTTTTTGAGCTTGTGCAATAACGGTCTCCCAATACAGGACAGGTAGTCCAGAAAACAAGGGCTCATATCGGTCTGTCGGGAAAATAATGTGGATTTGTCGCAGTAAAACATGTCGCTTGCCGCAGTCGCCCACCCTACTACTCACTAGGAATCACAAAGGCAATGATGGCGGATTTGAAGTTGCCACCAATCCACATTACTTTCCCGACAAACTAATATGACCTACAATTTCAAAAAAAGATAAATTAACCAAACTATTCAGCTTTTATAATATATATAGAATTCAAATCATTTATGCCCTTGAAGGCCCCACTTAATGGTGTCTGAACACGACAAATCAAAAAGATTTGGGTCAAGGGTTCATTGAAACCTTCATAAACCCTTATAAGGGTCTTTTGAAGAAAACCTTTTGCCGAAAAAAGTAAAGATTAGATGGGATTTCGTAGTCTTCAAACCTTTCTTTTTTCTGTAAAGAAGAGACCACAAAGGGTCCATTTCCAGTAAACAGTCAACGCGAAGACAACAAACTGGTTAAGCAGGAAGCCCCAAAATTAATTCGTTCGCATTTCAAACAAGCTTTTGAAACAAAACGGGAATTAGGAGGGGAATTGTAAAAGCAGTAATAATCGTTCGGTTATTAGGGCTCAACAAGATGGACTTTGGAGGGTTTCGATAATTGGAAAGGCTCAAGTTTTTTGTAAAGAAATTGGTCTCGGGCATGTTGGACCGTTCACAAAATTGGAGTGATTTTTTCGACATGCACTGTGAGAGAGTAAAAGTCCACTTTACACTCCGCAAATTGTTGCTTTTTGCACCGTGCAATAGGCATTCTTTAGTGCTGCTCACACTAAATGGGCCCTAAAATTTGGAATGAAAATGTCAAAGGTTACTACGGGAGCTTCCGGGAACTTGGGCCTGTCATACTTGGTGGACAAAAAATTGGTCACCTCAGCTTCAATGTGATAAAAATTTTATAAAAATTGGTGCATTATCGGCGGAGAAATACTTGAAATAAGGCTGGAAGCTTCGGGTTCCTACTGTACGGCCACCCTGTACAGTAGGACCAGATGCCCACGCAGAACCACCCGCCAATTCCCCGCGATTCAGCTAATATATATTTAGAACACCCAGCGTTTGTTTGCATTCCGCCACGAAAACACTACTATTCGTTGGCATTCCGCACCGACCGGTTATTTGAATATACTACTTGGAATATTCTCTTTATTCTGCCAGACTTGGCAAACCTAATTTCGTCCGTTGTAGAAATGTCTGGGCTTTGTATCGAGGTGTGATTTTCCAAAAAGACATCAAATGTCTCCGCCGAAAAATGGCCTCTCCGCCGAGACAAGAAGAAATTCTTTTGCATATTCGAAAAACGCACAAATTCAAATTTTAAATACGACTTAAACTTCTTGGATAGCTGCAAAGAGCACAAAGATATAAGCAAAAAAATTGGTTAAAAATTCTTGAAACACCCTGAACTGTTTAGAAACTTGTCGCATTGATGGTAAATTCCACTCTTCTTTCACTCAGCAACACAAATAATAACCGTTCCGAGGCGTTGTAAATGACAAAAATGACAACATAGTGCATTAGAAATTAATCCCTAAACCCTCTCTCTCATCCGTTCAAGGCGTTTAGCGGAACGGATCCGGTGCACTCAACGGATTGGTCGTACTGGGAAAGGGTTGCGTAACCAAGAGTAGCAGTCAGTGACACGAAGACCCTTTGCAGAAAATTACGGTCAGTGGAGAGTGCGAGAGACTTTGGTTTCAATGGAAGCGAAATTACGGTAGAATAGAGTCCACTTTGATTCATATAAAGGATCAAAGTGGACTCAAAAATTGTTTTCTGTTAAGACATCCAGCCACTGAGGTGATTTGCTCTTATTTTCTGCAAATTTCCGTACAAGCAAGGCTTTTGAGATGAAGAATACAGAAGTGGATAAAAATTGGCCTTTGGGCATGATTTTGTATTAGTCTGTCGGGAAAATAGTGAGCAGATGTCGCTGAAACCAGGCAGGGTTGAAAAGAAACTTGATTTTGCCTCGACACAATTCATTTTGTCGGCGATTCGATTTTCGATGCGACAGAGTGCTCATTATTTTTCCGACAGACTGATGCATGGACATCATCATTTTTAGTCCAAATTTTTTATTAGAAGTTGCCAGAAAATCTAATTTTTTTTAAAAAACTTAAAAGTCATACAAATTTCAGGTTGACAGGGGAAGTGCTCCAAGTGTTACGCCCGGACTTTGATGAAACTTGGCACAAGCTATATGAGTTATGAATAAGTTTTTATAAGTCATATACGAGACACCTAGCTCGAAGAAACGGCCAAAATTTTTAGGTTGAAAATTGGAAAAAATGTAACACTTTTTTGCGAATTTTGGCATGAAACGTATGATATCTTTTTCTACTGTAATGAGTAATGTTTACTAAAAAATTTAAGTCATGCATGCGTATTTACACTGGGTAGACAAAAAAAAGTATTTTTTTTGTATGAAACTGACACTGCTCTCCGCTGTTTCCGTACTCTCTCGACCACAAAGTTCGTTGAATATCTCGTATGTCGTTGCAAAATCCGAGTTAAAATTTTCAAGAATTGATATGTGGACTATGCCTGAAATATTGCAAAATCAAAAAGACATATACTGCTATAGTAGTGCATATATGCTTGGTCTTGGCTCCCCTTCACTACCGTTCTTTTCCCTGCTCCCTTCGGCTTGCCGGAACTTTTTAACACATTTTTTGCAATCATTCCCCGACCTTAGCCGTAGTCACGAACCAATGCAGACTATTTGGTCCAGCTCCGGCTCTCCAAAGCCCTCCGGTGCACGATAATAACACTTCAAAGGCTCGAACAATTATTACAGCCGATTGCCTTTACAATCGACCGGCTTAATTAACCCTGTTCGGCGGTCTAAACTTCACAACAGCACGACATACAGCCTGGAAACCGGCGCGGTCACGTTAGGCTTTGTTCAAGTTTTCTGCATGCCATCTTTTTTCGTGCTCGTTACAAATTGTAAATTGTAAATTGCGGAGTGTGTTGTGGGAAACTGGAGCTCGGGATTCCATGAAAAAATAATCAAAAAATAATAATTACGATAATGAACGAAGTCTGAATGCAAAAACAAAATTATAGTCGATGAAATTCTTAATAACATCCTTATTCAGCCGCCCTTCTGACGCAAGTAAATGCGTCACCCGACGTTATTAGAAGTGTTGCAAATTTTGTTTACAGGTATCAGTTCGTTCGGAAAAACGCAAAAGTGGTTTCGAGACATGCGTTATGCAAGAAAAGTCAAGGTAGAAGCGGCTCAAAATAGCTTATTGTACGGTGCAAAAAGCAAAAAATTGCATAGTGCAAAGTGAACTTTCGCCCACGAAAAGTATCGTCAAAATCACTACAGTGATTTTACGAACAGGCTTGAATCAGTTTGCCGGGAAAATAATGGGAATTCGACGAGCCTAAAGATGGCAATGGACCCGGTCTTGACCGGCCTTATGAATGACAAAATTTTAATACATCTAAAAAATAACAATAAAACCTCTATTTCTGAAAAATGAATGAATGAACAGACAGTGGCTAGAGCCTTACCGAATTTTACAAATTTACTTTAGCAAGCCTTTAAAACCCTGTAAAATCTCATCGTGGTTCTGACCAATCATAATCGCACCGTAATATTCATACAGAGGCCAAACAAGGGTCTTTCTTGCACTTTCTTGGGCGGTAAACATAATGAATTCACTGTAATTCGGTGAAGCGATGTAAATAAAAAAAAACTGTAGCTCTAATTCCTCTGGTATATGGTATGAAGACAGCCATTTGGAAAACTGTCAATGACTTTTATCCAACTTTTTATACTACGGTATAACAGGGCCTGACCGAGCCGCAGCCTCTAGACGCTCTTTTGAATCGCCTATTATCGCTTTTCGACGGCTAGCGACTGGGGATGGGGTGGGAAATGTGGCGAGGGTTGATATTTTTTGCGACGAATCCTCATTATTTTCCCGACAAAGTGATATTTATAAAAAGCGAACTTTTGGAAAAAGTCGGACTGTCAAAGCGTTGATTGAAACTTGGTGCAAATTTACAGGGTGCGCCAATAAAATCTGGACTAATATTTTTGCTTGCCCTGCGGACTGTGACAGTACGAGAACAAAGTGGGCGATTGTGGATAAGGATAAAGAGTCGCCAAAAAAATCGGCTGACGTGCCAGAGGTTCGGGACAAATAAGATTTTTACGTCCAAGGCTTGAGCTTTGGCATTTTTTCGAAATTTACATTGTAAATTGCAATGTAAAAAAGGGTTGTCTGCCTTCTCGCGTTTCAGATTTCAACTACTTTCGGTTTATACATATTTCCACTGGCCCTGCAGAGCAAAAATTTTAGGGAATTGAAAAGTGGCCAGGAAAGCGGAAATTTGAATAAAATCTGAGCGTTTTCCCTTGAACTCTGCCTTGTAGGTCATAAAAGTTGCAAAAAAAATAAGGACAAATTTCGCGACGGGTTTAAAAATTACGTCAAAAGTTATTAGAATTTAAATAAAATAAAATTCAATGTTCATGGGCCCGCGGGCCGGCCGGGTTTGATTCAAACTTTTTTTGCCCTATTCCGAGAGCACAGCCAACGTACGCAATCAATCAAGCTTTACGTACAAAACACTATAGGGCCTTTTTACGAGCCCAATTAACCACGTTATTCTGCTATTCGTTGACGTATTCTTCGCTATGATGAACTTGAATGTACAGTATTTTGAATTACTGATATTAAGTGCTGTTTTCGTAGCGTTTAGTACCATGATTTACCCCGATTGCGCAATACCCCGCTTTCCTCATGGTAAATAAATGATAAGGCCGATCGAAGGAAGCCAAAACCAACTGTTCTTATCAACGCACTCAAGGGCCTTCCACATGGAAAGACCGGTTTCCATAAAATGCATTCAGTTGATTTTTCGCTCTTAATTTTAATTCTTATTCCGACGTTGGGTTTGGCCGCGGAAAGCGGGCGCTCGGCTAAGCCATGGGCGTTCCAGACGAAGCTCGAGGAAGGGCTGATTACTGGCTATCAAAAACAGTACGGGAATGAGACGATTGTCATGTTCAAGGTAAGGGTTTTGAGAGCGCTTGGCGTGATTTCTTGTCTATTGAAAATTTCAACGCTTTGCATGTAGCGATGGAGCTATTTGGCTATGCACAGGGAACCTCTATAAAAAGCTCCTTGCATTGTGTGATTACTTTGGACACAACGCCGTTTCTATGCCGGGCAAATTTGCAATTCGCACAGGTTAAAAACGGGTCCGAAATTGAGGTCCCTCTGTTTGTCATTCAAAAAAAGAATGTTATTAAATCGATATGGACGTGAAATTATAAGGCCTAGGAGTGAAAACCACGTAGAATTTAACCGTATGAAAATAATTTTGCTGCACTTAAAAATTTTCGCGTCAGGGCCCAATGAAAAAAGTTTCCATTCTTTTGCCGCTCCTTGTACACCAAAAAAAGTGTAATTTTTTGTGATATCATTACACAAGATATTATAAAAATTAGTCCGTTCGCAAAGTCGTTGGAGTAATTTTTGCGACATAGGCTGCGCGAAAACAAAAGTTCACTTTGTACGATGTAATTTCATGCTTTTTGCACCATGAAGTATGATTTTTCGGGCTGTCGATCGCACCCTTTTTCTGCACAGTGCAAACGCCAAAGATCACTCTTTACGAACGTAATGGCACAAGAAACAACCTCAGAGGCCATAGGAGTCCTTCAAGGACAAAATGAAAGCAAAATGCAATTTTATACGACGAAACCTTTCTACAGGAAATAAATTTATTGGCCAATTGTTATATTTATTAAACTATTTTTTCGTATAACCACTTGACTAACCACGTAGAGAAAGCATTTTATTTTTGGATTTTTTTAAAGATTGCTCGAAACATGCACTTTCTTGGGATCGTTCGATCGCTTCAATCAAGTGACGGAAATTTTAATGAGCCCTTTGTAACTATAACTTATATATTCCATGACCTTTGCCGACGATAAAAGTACGTAAAATGTAGGGAGCAGCGAAAGAGAAAACGTCTTTTGGTCATATTTTTGCAAATCTTGTCAGGAAAAAGTTCAATCCTCACAATTACAGTATCTACTTCGAGAATGAAACAGAATGCCAAGTTTTCACTTAAAAATCACAATAAAATTATTTTGGTCCGTTTGCAAAGTTGCTGTGTTTACATGCATACTAGTACTTGATTATTTGTCATTTTCGACCTATTTTTTGCAAGCCGTATGCAGAAAAAGTCCTGAATATGCCTTTAAATACGCAAATCTTAATTTGCATCAAGTTCAATCAAAGTTCAAAAACGGCTTTATATGGCTTTATATGGCTCATTAGGGCCTACAAAGATGGTCTTGTATTTCTATTGACATCATAACACATATTGCCTACGGTAATTCGAAACGTGATTTTCCGAGTTTCCACCCTCTTGGATATATGTTAACGATCTCAATTAGGGCCCCTTTCATTCCAAATTCAAAATCCCAAATTTGAGCATGTGATTCGTCATGCGAAAGGATAACAAAAACCCTCGGGGATAGCATAACTTTCACAAATTTCTCGAACCACAAGAAACGATAGTCTCCCGGAGTCTTTGGTCGCCAAGATTCCGCGTAATTCCCGCAGACGTCTCGTGTTTATTTTGCCCAAGTCCGCGCTCCCCCCTAAATTCGCCCATTCAACACACCTTAACTACCCCACTAACTAGGCTCGGGAGCAATTCGCTTTTCGCATAAACGACGGGTCCCAACGAGGCCGATACGTAGCCGGCGGCGGCGTCATCACGGATTCCTGAAATTGACGGCGGGAACCCGCTTTAAGGGCATTTAATTTTATTTAGACATAAAAATAAAGCATAAAGTGGGCACCCGAATTAGCATGTCAGCTGGTCGCTCGGATAAAGTTTAAGAAGAGCGAAATACAGTAGAAGGGCGAGCGTGAAACTTGGACTCGCGGGAAGGGCAGGATTAAATATAGAAGACTATGTAAATAATATGGGAAAATACAGGTAATAAAAGTGGAAAAATGAACGAGACTCTGACGGAACTACAGTCAAACGTCTGTACAATGAATTGCAAGGTTTAACTGATCATTAACCACATCAGTCTGTCGGGAAAATAATGAGCCCTCTGTCGCATCGAAAATCGCATCGCCGCCGAAAAAATGACTTGTGTCACGGTAAAATCAAGCTGCTTTTCACTTCAGCGACGCAATCGGCGCAACGACATGACTCTCATTATTTTTCCGACAGACTGATACATTTATTTTTTCCCTCTGGACAAGACAGCAACACAAAATTTTGAGTGCCAAAATCAACCTAGCACTGCTCATTCGTCCCTAACAAGTGTCCCATTCAAATTCTATCGGCGCAGCGACATAGCGCTCATTGCTCTCCCTACAGACTGCTAGAATGGTTTTGTAGTTTCAATATGACCTGAAATTTACGCCTAGGACCCCTCAAAATTTCTAGAGTCGTTACCGACTCCTTGATCAGAACTTTAGTACAGTATCACGCAAAATAAAAAGAACGCTTCTCAAGGTTTTGAATCAATAACCGAGTACGAGTAGTTGCCATCTTTAAATCGCCGGATCTACCGAGATTTCACAAATTGGGGCTTTGTTAGTTCAGCTCCCCACGAAAGGTAGTTCAAACTCCCACTGCCTATTTGTCATCACTGCCCGTTTCACACCCCCATAATGAAAAAAATAGAATAATAAGAAAAATGCAAATTAGAGTAAAATGTAAATTCTGAAACGATTCATTCACGGTAAGTGGGGGTTTGATCTAAAACGTAGGGGGCTTGTTGCTGGATCATACAACTTGGATAAATTTTGTGGGTTCAGAATGGACGAGGGGGGTTGTACTGGGTCATGGAGGCTGAGCTGGACTGGGGGTTGTTCTACCTTAGCCCCGTATAATGCCAAATAAATCAATCGTTTCCAAGACGAGGCACTTGCTTTCGGATCTAACCAAACCTTACAACTTCATCCCTTCGAACTTCCTTCAATCCCAGTTTTCACTTTACAAAATTCAACCTCAGACGTCGTTGTCACGACGCAGAATTTTAGGGTGTTCCTTTCGCCGAGCCTCCCACCAAACAAGACAGATTCGCCCATCCTCAACCAAAAAAGCCATGGGATAACACCTGGGACTGCTCGAATTACCAACGCAACTGCCCGAATATCAGTCCGGTCAGTCTGATCGACGCTAATGGAACTGAAGACTGCCTCTACCTCAATGTGTTCGCCAACAGTCGATGCTTTGTAAGAGAAACATTAAAAGTTTTACTTTGGCTTTTAGAACAACTCATGTCCCGTGATGTTCTACATCCATGGCGGAAGCTTCTTCTTCGGCTATCCTTTGGAGACTCGAGAAGAAGAAATTGTTGAAAAATATGTGTCATCGCCGGTCGTTTTTGTCACTCTTTCCTATCGAGAAAACATTTTTGGATTCCTAAATTTCGAAGAGAAAACGGTCGATGATCAGTTGGCCAACGCCGGGTTTCACGGTAAGTCAACTGGCGAGGGAATAGACCCTAAGTGTGAGGGATTGATCTAGGTTAAAATTGGCAAAAAGTTCCTTATTCTGGCCACAACAAAGGTACTCGGTGAACTGCGCCCAAGCTTGGGAACTTAAATTATGAAAAAAGGTTTCGACCTAGCTGGCACTGAATTACTATAGTTGCTCTATAGTTTTAAGAGTACCAGCAAAGGCTATGACGACTCGTTTAGTTCTATACGGAGGCAATAAGTAAAGTTCCGGACAGGTTTCATCGCATAAAGTGTAAAATTGCAGACTGCAGCAGTTTTTGACCGCAGGCTGCAGCAGTTTTTGAGGAGTAAGGTGGTACGTATAAAAGAAGTTGCCTTACTAACTAAATCCACTTTCCTGGATTTAGTTATTAGGTATGACAACGATGAATTGAGATTGCACGCTAAATTTGGGCTAATTCTGACCAGTTTCCGCAAAGTTATAAGTTGTGGCCAGAATAAGGAAATTTTAACTAAAATTGACCCAGTTGTAAGTGTAGCAATGGGCTAAGGTCATGTTTAAAAAATCAATTTTTAATCGCTCCTAGCAAGACCTTGCTTCCAGACATTCTGTTGGCCCTCAAATTTATAAAGCGGAACGTCAACAAAATGGGTGGGGATCCGTCGCGAATCACCGTAATGGGCAACTCTTCTGGCGGATCGGCCGTGCTCTACTTGATTTCCTCGCCGGCAGTGGAAGCGGACTTGTTTTCGCAAGCCTGGATTTCGTCACCGATGCCTTATGTGTCGCCAAAACGAAACACTGAGATGACGAGGGTGGTGAGCAAGGCTGTGGGATGTAAAAGAAAAGCAACGTGAGTTTTAGGGCGTTATACGGTAAAATAATCAAAAACATATTTGTCTTTCATCAAGCGTATATTTCGTATTCAAACGTATGGGCCAATTTCCCCACAGTTTACAAAATTTGAGCGCTCTGACACACATCCGGCAGGTTCATTAAAATCAACTTCGTTAATCCGCACGCTTTGCAGTTTTCGGAAGCTAAACCTTTTTTGTAGTGCATGGGTTTTGTAAATCCGGCCCGGGAAATGAGCATTCAGCTTAGCTCGGGCTACACTTGCTCGAAAACAACGGAAATATTATACTCCCTACACCCCCACCACTCGTTTTGAAGTTGATATCATTGCTGAAGTTGTGGCGCTTACAGAATCAAAACAACTATATTTGAATCTCGCTTTTACGGATTAGAAGACGAAATGTCACCGATTTTTTCTCAAAATTCCGTTAGAACAAAATAGAAATAATTTGAAAACGTATGTGTGTATTCTGCAATTTATCAGTTTGTCGGGAAAATTATAAGCAGCGCTAAAATGAAGAGAAATTTGATGTTGCTATGGCACAGTTGAAGTTCTCGGCGTCGATCCAATTTTCGATTCGATAGAGTGCTCATTATTTTCCCGACACACTAATATCTGATTGTTCTGAAGGCTTGCCGTTCTTTTTACGAAAAGCGGCAGCCAAAAGTTTTGTGACATTTCGTATTCTAGGCTGTAAAAGCAAGGTCCAAACGCAGTTTTTTAGTTGTTTTGGTCCCCTTAAATTTGGAAATGATCTTGTCGATTAATACCTATCTATGTCTAGGCCTAATGCCACGGCGGATGCTCTACGACAGCTGAAATGTCTTCGACAAGTTCCGGAACGACAGCTCACTCATGCCGCCTTCAACGGGCTATCCCAATATGAGTGGACCCATACCGGCCCGCAAAGCGATCACCATCTCTTGCCGGTGGCGAATTTCGGGGAGCTGGTAAAGTGGTGGAAGGTGGGTAAATACCACAAACAGAAAACTTCTCTTGTAAAATCATGAGCGAAGCCAGAAACTCGGGCCTTTACCTTGACTCCGAACTAACTTTTTTAAACCACCATGTTAAAATTAGTAGAAATTGCTCCAAAACACTCTATGCGACCACCGAACCGGACGATCACACAGCCAATTTGTTTAGTGGAATAAAGTCGAAAGTTGAAGTATCATGCTACAGGGGTTACAATGCAAGACGAGGCATGTATGAACGCATATACAATCAATTTACGGTTATGTCACGTTTCATTCAAATCTGAGTGTCGCACTTGGGGCACTTCCTTTGCTAGTGTCGGCAAAGTCAACCAAAAAATTTCCAATCCTCTATTGCGTAACACCCTTACAGTAAAATTCCTAAGTTTTATTTCACTCATAGTCGCTTGACAGATCAAGCCACGTAATTCAGCCAAATCCTTCCTCTTCCTGCGCGTTCAGACAAATTACAAAAATCTTTTACGATTCCCCACCGTATTCCGGGTCTCAGAAAGTCCCGAAAAGCCGGCAATTCCACGTACGGCCGCCGTAATCTTGCTCCTATGAGTTAATTTCATCGCAAAGTGAACTCCAGTTTTTCAGCCAGCACTTTACTGTACCAATGCGCTTAGCGTCCGCAAATAAGCGGCTTGTACACATGTTGGGGCACATGTTGTCACAAGGAACTCTCGGCGAAATACGAATTAGTATTAATAGACCTTGAATTGAGGATCAAAAAGCAAAAGTGTAATGTGTGTGGGTTGCAATTTGAGAGATTTGGGAACCGGATTTTGAGCTGTACTATACGGGAAGTGGGGGGCCGGGTTGTGGGCTAAAAGGGGATTATTTCAACCCGCTTCCGTGGAGAACGGACTAAACTGTCTGTAAAAGGCGCTTTCCGAAATTATGATGATTTCCCAGAATTGTGACCTACTCAAATGGATTGTCTCGAAAATTCCAAAAAAAAGGAGGACTATAAGTCTGCAGGGAAAATAATGAGGGCAATGCCGCCGGGCCGATTGCGTCGTTGAAATAAAAAGCAATTTGATTTTGCCGCGGCACAATTCATTTTTCCGGCAGTGATGCGATTTTCGATGCAACAGAGTGATCATGATTCTCCCGACAAACTGATAAATAAAAAAACAGTTACACTGATCACCTCGCAAAGTTTGACTCCGGATTCGACGGGATACGAGGGTAGTTTATCACCAATTTTGAAGTCAGATACTATTACTTGCAGTAATAGTATCTAGGTAAAAGTTACGGATCATATTATCAGTCCGTGGAGCCTTCACCGAACCTCCGCCGATCAACGACTTTGCCAGGCCTCGTAGGCATTTCCTACAGCCTCTTTTGGGCATCCACCTGCCGTACGCGCTGTATCGATCGATTTTGTATTGACCTCTCGGCATGAAAAGTCGGGATGCAGAGATTTTTAGATCGGTTGAATACGGCAAACCCAAAAAATCCCTCTCAAAAATCAGCAACTAACAAGTTCCCTTTTCCCCAATGAAATCGCAGATTTTCAGCCGCGTCGCCTCTGGTTTTCAACAACTTCCAAGGAAATGGAAATCGAAGTGGATGAAACCAACTATCACATGTGTCAGCACTACTGTCCAATCCTCGGCTACACCAGCATAAAGACTTTTGTCGAATGCGCCAAGAACTTTTTCAACCGCCGCAAGAGCATAGCGCAGGTGTACCACGCGTTAACCCGCAAGCTGGCCCAGTTAAACGCACAAGGCGGCGCAGAAACGTTCGTTGAGTATTTTGATCAGCCCAATCACACGTATCACGCCACCAATTTACTGTTTGTGCTTGGTTGGCACAAGCCGCAGGAGTTGACGGAGAGTGAGGCCGCATTGGACGAGGTTTACCACAAATGGATCGTGAATTTTGTCAGTGGAAGAGCGCCAAATGAGGGTGAGTTTCGAAGGGTGGCTTTTGAAGGTGAAAGCGTCGGTGTAGCGAAAAGATTAAGAAACTTGCAGCCTGCCAATTGAGAAGTCTCTCAAGTCGGGTGGTCATATTTGCCCAACATTTTGGACACGTATTTACAGGCGACGTATCATATTATTCTAAAAGTCTTAGTTTTTTAGGCAAATGAGATATCAGTTTGTCGGGAAAATAATGAGGATTCTGTCGCATCAAAAATCGCAATGCCGACGAGAACATGAATTGTGTCGTGGCAAGGTCAAATTGCTTTTCATTTCAGCGACGCGGTCGGCGGATTGTGCTGACTATTTTTCCGACAGACTGATAATCATAAAATCCTTTAGAGGTTATACAAAATGAAGAGAGTACGGAAAACGGATTTTAGCCAATTCCGAGGGAAATTGCTAGGGGAGCTTTTGAAATCAGGCCCCATCCTTGGCATGTTTTACACTTTTTTCCCTATGCTATATGTACACATGTATATTTACTTTAATTTTTTCTAGATTTCACCCCGTACACCATCGCCAAACCAGCTTATTACCACATAAACTATCAAGTCGAAGGGAACAAGACCACCTCCTTTCCTCACATGGTCTACAACGAATCCCTGGATCCGGAGGGCGATCAATTCTGGCTTCACGACCTTCAACTGGTCGAGGATCCATTCTTTTTCAACCAAACATCGTCATCTCCAACTACAGGAAGTACAGCAACAACAACGTCGAATCCGTTGTACCCTCTCCGACGCCACATGAAGAACGCCCGCTTCAATTTTCACTTCATGACAAGTGTCCTCATGTTCATGACATGCTTGCTGCTTGTGACGACTTTTGTCCTTTTATGGAATCGATTGCAGAGTGGCTATCGCAGAACCACGATTTACTTGAATCCGCCGGCTCAGCCTACGGAAAGAACGCCGCTGATCCAGAACGAAGAAGAAAGTGCCGCCTGAAGTTGTTGATTTGTAGAGATTGGCCCTTTTTACTGCGGTATTTGTATAAACTTGTACATGTAGAAAATATATGAAAAATATATGTGATTTTTTTTAAATAAATAGTATTTCTTTGATTTCCGGTTTTTTCTGCCTGGAGGCCTGTCGGTTTTTCCTGTCCACCTACAGTGAGGGACCTGATTCATTTTGCATCTAAGAAGGGTCCAAAATGTCGCAAAACCCTTCCCTTCTCCAAGATCAAAACCCCCGCTTTGAAGAGCGCGCCCTTTCCTTCAAGAAAAGAGCGCCAGCTCCAAATGCATCCAACAATATTCGCAATCAAAAAAAGCGCGCGCTTTCTCAGTTCTCCCTTTCTCCTCCTCCGGGAAAAAACAGTAAAATTCTGCAAATACAGAAGGCCAAAGGAAAGAGAGAAGCGCAAAAATTTTTTTTGATTGCGAAGGGGAAGGGTTTTGCGGCATTTTGGTGCCTTCCTGGATGCAAAATGAGACGTTTTTTGCCACTGGATCAGGTCCCTCGCTATATGCCGTTGCGGGCACAAAAAGCCCGTCCCAATTGCCATGTTTATCAGCATGCCTTTGCGGATTCTTTGACGTATATCTTGCAAAAAAACCGGAACTATCTTGCTGATAAGAAACCATGTTCATAATTTGAGCCGAGTGCTTTTCAATTCCGTTTTCCCCACGAAAAATGCCTCCCATGCACTCTGCGCTGAATTACTGTGCTTCATGATGAGATGGATCGACGATGCTGGCAAGAATCATGGCCGCCAATCGAGCGACCTTACCCTGAGCGGACAATGGGAACCATTATGAATCACTCCATGATTTTTTTGCATGTGATTGGTGAAAATAAATTGAAATTGAAGGTATTTCTTTGTGTATCTTGGCTCGGTAGTTGCCAATTGCGCCCGGGTCGACACAAAAGCACCCTGGCCCGATCTGTCGCTGGCTTTTGGTAAAATTTGCGCCGAAAATTCGCTGGAGTGATTTTTAGCGTTTGCACTGTGCAGGAAAAGTGCTAGCTGCAACCGATAAGCCTATCTTACCGTCCGAAAATCAACATGTTGCGCAATGCAAGGAGCACTTTTGTTTAGAGTGCATGTCGCCCGATATAACTGCAGCGATTTTGCGAATGGACTTACTATTATAGACTACGGTCAATTTTTGCAAATTTTCATTCAGCCGTTCTTCGGGCTTTGAGATGTAAGAAGTCCCGTCCCAATTGCCATGTTTATCAACATTCTTTTGCGGATTCTTTGAGGTATGTCTTGCAAAAAGAAACCGGATCTATCTTGCTGATAAAAAACCATGTTCATAAATTGAGCCGAGTGCGTTTCAACTTCGTTTTCCCCACGAAAAATGCCTCCAATTCCATGCGCACTTCATGGAAAGCTACTATTATACTATATTTATACGAACAAACTTTCAAAATAATTTTGATAAAATTTTTATCCTTGATTACGCTGTGTAATATTATATATGTACATACATACAAACAACATTAAAATCCTACTATATATATATAAGACTAAAATATGTATATATATGCTTTAGAAATCATTATGCCGGCCGCTGAAGCACCACGCTGGGTTCGTGTATTATGTGTAGAGAGGAATGTGAATAATGTTTCGAGACATTATTCACTTCCAGCTTTAGTTTGAATTCGGGATTTCAATTTAAACAGCTCTTCTTTGGGCATACAACGGATGTTACTGGAGTCGGAGTAGTGTAGATTGCTGAAATAATGATTTATATTTTTGTAAAGTACGTCTCTTGCGATGAAAATTTGCATATAAAACAGATGCCTTTTTTGCCACAAAATCCTTCAAAAAATAGATATTTCCTTACCTTGAAGCCGGCAGAAGATTCGAATTCATAGCGCTGACTTTGATGCAGACAAATTTCTGCTCACTGTTCCCAGCACCAGGCCTTTCCACCAGCATGAACGCCAAAGCAACACCAAATACGAAGACCATTAGATCAATATTCTGCTTCATCATCATTGATCAACAACACCTTGAAATTCGCGAGTTCTCTGAGCTTTTGAATTCGTTCGAAAACAAACCCGTGTTCACAGTTATGTTCAAGGCATCGCCAAGGTCTTTTATAGCTGAGTCGCTTATCAGTTGTCTTGCGGAAAGCCGGTGATAAAAGGACTGTCAGTCCGTCGGGTTATGACCAACTTCTCTCCGCCTTATCTCATACAGTAATTAGTCGATTCAAAAGGATTTTGAAGCGAAGAACGATTGTCGAAAGAGATTTTTTGGGGGATTAAACTTGGGTGGTATGCGAAGATAGAGGGAGGTCATGTGGTTCAGGAATGAAGCTCTGCAATTCATCGTTGCAATGAGCAATGATTAGAGGGGAAGTGGAATAAATTAAAAGCTGGACGGCATGAACAAACAATAGGTTTTGGGCCAAGTTTAGTCTATGAAAAGGCTAAGAAAAAGGTAAAAAATATGCCTACATTTGGTGTCAAAAATATGTGCCACAAACAACAAAGCCATTAACTTTGAACTGAGGCCCTATATTTTGTCTTGCAAGTCTTGTTCGACTCAAAAAATGGCAAAAAAGGATCTTTATAGTCTTCTCTATCATCATTTCTTTGCTACGTCTTTATGGTGCCTTTTGATGCCAACTATAGACTATATCCTAACTCATTTTAAAGCTCAAGAGATATCCGTCTGTCAAGAAAACAATGAGCCCTCTGTCGGATCGAAAATTGCTTCGCCGCCGGTAAAATGACTTGTCTTGCGGGAAAATCAAATTCCTTTTCACTTCAGCGACGGATCGGCACAGCGGCTTAGCTCACTATTTTCCCGACAGATTGTTATTTTACTATCTTTTTGCTCATGCTCTTTGCCCCCGTTGTCTTTTCCGTCAGCGAATAAACTCTCAGTTTGAATTTTGCAACTCTCTCGTAAAACTGATATCGCTGCAAACTTGACAGTTTTAGTGTTTTACGGGCCCCTTGCAGCAAACCGAAACAATCATGAGTTTGACAAACAAAACGAGAATGAAAACACGGTAGCTCATATCAGTGGGGATCTGTCAATCCACACATTTTTCGTCGTAAATTTTTTCTTTCAATTTATGGGAATGCCCTTTCAGGACAAATTTTTTACAGTTTTAATTATATCAAGCCGACGATTTGCTTCTTTTCAAACTGCACTTTTAATTTTTTGTCATTCCTCTGGGATTTTGTGGTTTCAAGTCACAAATAATGCTTTCTGGATGAGTTATAGAAATGAGGGAGGGTAGCTTACTGAGTAACAATATACAGGGCTATTTTTTCATGAAAATTTTCATGCCGCCTGTTGCTACCGTAGAGCGTAAGATTTCCACAAACAATCAATTTTTAACGCATAAAACTGGCAAGAATATAGCCAAAAGGTTTTTCCGTGTGACCACCCTCCTACTCCCTTGGAGATCGTTGAATATTTTGACCCCTGAGACTTTAAAGAATTGCCTATGTCCGGCCCGTGTGTAAACGTTGAAGAAAATCTGAGAGTCGCATTAGGGGTACTTACCTTGTCAGTTATGAAAATTAGAGCCTTTTCTTTGCCTTCAATTTTTACTGTAGGCTAATTAGTGGGTATGAGATATTTTGTACTAAAAAATGGGAGAGTTTGAGGATTCAGGGAAAAGAGAATTTTAACATTTGGACAAAAACCAAAAAAGCCATGGCCAATTCAAACCCGGCATTAATAGTGGTTCAGCCCATCGAAGCGTCACTTGGGACTTATGATAATAGATTCCCGAAAAAGTATCCCTTATTGCCATAACTCTCATGAAACTTTTGCGACATGCTGCAAGTTAGAAATCAACCTAAATTAAAGTCAAGGACTCCAACTATTGCCTCATCCAAGAACTGCCCACATCGGACCACCATAGGATTTATTATCGACTTTTGAAGATCGAATTTTTAGTTTATGGTTAGGTCAATCTTTAACCTAAGCTCAATTGTATTTTCTGCCGGAAACACATGCGTTACGCGACCTCTTAATAACCCGAGTAATCCCTCTTACCTCTGTTTTGTTTGAGTTTTCATTTTTATCTCCGTCGAAGTTGAAAAAATGACTGTCAGACTGACCTTTGAGTTTGTTTTTGGGATTAGACAGTAATAAAGGGTCAGTCAATAATATGTCAATAAAAAGTGAACAGTGAGAATACGCGGCAAAACGCACCATAGTTCAATGCGCTCAGTGTCAAAATAAAAAAATTAAGCCGAATCACGCCGTAGATGATAAAAAATGATGGCTAGACGGCGGCTGCTGTTTTGACAGGTCTGTAATCGGACAGTGGAGCCATTTTATGTCAAAAAGAAGACAGCGATGTATATAGTAGGACGAGAATTTTCTCCGCGGTTTCTTAGAGCTGGCTAGACTCTCTGAATCCAACCACATTACCGTGGATTTGACGGTAATGTGGTCCGCGCCTCGCCGCTTTTATTGGTCTCTACTCCCTCTCCTCTCTTCAACAACCTGGGGAAAATCCTAAGACTTCAGATCTTCAGAGTAGGTCTCACTAACAGCTCTGTGGTGTCGGATCAAACGTAGATATTTAGAAGAGGCGCTAGGGCCACCACTCTTACAGGAATAGACACAAGCTTAGAATAAGGTTGATTGAGACCGCACACGAAGAACGGAAATGAGGTAATGTTCTGTAATTGGTGACGAGACGTTGCTTTTAAATGAGTTGGTTTATGCTAATTTCCATGGGAATTGTGGAGGCCTTTGAGGCTCTACAACAAGCTCAAGAGTCAAGTGATTTATTCTGTGGAAAAGAGGCCTTTTATACCGAAAACTCCCCGTAGAAAAGTACAATCAAATTTGAATAAATGAAGACAGTTTCCCAAAAATCCTCGGCCGTTCCGAGGATAGCAGCTTTTATGGTCGTAAAAGTGCAGCATACGGAGGTGTTAAAGTTTTATTAAAACATACGACGTTAACGACATATACAGTCTAAGATCACTATTCAATATTTTCACCAGAGTTGTTCGGAATGACTTGGAGTACCATGAGGCTGTGCATTTCGGAGGTAATCATTTACACTTTCCCTTCACCGTCTTGCTATTCACTGCCAATGCGACACTTTTTGCCTTGTGGAATCTGCAAACAACAGGGGTTAAAAAGACACATTGAACTTGCTCTAAAATGTCTTCCACTTCCAGTTGAAGGGCGTCCTTTTCCAAGTAGAGTTGGTCTCGTTTCATGAGGAGGACGACAAGATCCGTGTTGGCCACTAAAATAGGGGGAAATAAGAAAAGTTATATTCGAAGTAACAGAGGAAGTACCCCAAGTGAGACGCTCAGATTTTGATGAAACTTGGTACAGATTTAGAGAAATTTTTTCTAACATATATACGAGAGTCCTTCGCGCTTTGCAGTAGAAACAATCGAGATTTTAAGATCGAAATTCGGCTAACAATTAGGACTTTTTGCCAAATTTTGGTACGAAAAGTTTGATATCTATTTCTACTGTAACGCGTAATGTTTCCACAAAAAAAATCATTTTTTTTAAAAGCGTTTTTCTCTCTGACCGCTCTCCGCGTTAAGCGCACTCTCTCGGCGGCAAAGATGGTTCAATATCTCCTTTGCTGGCCAACTTACCATCAGCCCTTGCTTCCAGCTCCTCCATGATTTCTCGGAGTTTCCAGATCGGAGTTTTGGACAGTTCCTTTCGCAGGTATCTCTTCTTCCCGATTGGTTTGTAAATCTGCTCCGTGGAGAACTCACTACTATCGCTGTTTGGGGTGTTATACAACTTTTGAGTGGACCTCGAAGAGTTTGTTGTGGTAGAAAAAGTCGCACTTGAGCTACTGCCAGTATTATTGTTGGCGTAATCGGATGACTCAAAACAACCGGTTCCAGCGGATGTAAATGAAGTGGAAGGTTGTTGTAGCCGGTAGAATGAGTTCATTTCTGGACCCTGCAAAGGCTACAGTAAGAAAGAGAATGTAGTGAAAATTAGATATTCAAAAACGCAGGTTCAGACAAAATTTTTGTGGTTTTGAGAACGGCTCGACTGAAATGTTGGAATATAATTGTATTAGACCGCAATCTCTGCTTTTTGAACGGTGAAAACACCTGACTCTGATTAGTGGAAATAGAATTCCATAAATTGAATTAGAGACGCTGTCGTGCTCTCTGGAGAAATAATAAAAATTCAGACATAAAATTAAGCATGCAAATGATATGCAGCGAAGAGAAACATGGTCATAAATACGTTAAAAAATAAAAAAAGATAAATTTTGCAGTTGTATAATGAAAAAATTGCAAGTATTATATATATTACAGATGTTGATGGTATCTACCGAATATTCTGTAAATAAAAAGTAATGTTCTCAGCTTCTACTTTACAGTGGCTGCTAAGATATTTGAAGGCGAGAGACTACGAGAATTGAAGAGAGTCGGTAAGAGAAAAAATGGTGGGTAAAAGTTCCTTATTTTGGCCACAACTTATAACTTTGCGGAAACTGGTCGGAATTAGCCCACATTTAGCGTGCACGCTCAATTCATCGTTGCCAATGCCCCGACAGTGGACTTAGTTTGTGAGGTACCTTCTTTTTTACGTACCACCTTACCCTTCAAAAACGGCTACAGCCTGTGATTTTACACTTTATATGATGAAACATGTCCGGAACTAAACTTATTGCCTCCATATGGAACTAAATGAGTCGTCACAGCCTTCGTAGGTACCCTTAAAACTATACAGCTATTATAGTAATTCAGTGCCAGCTAGGTCGAAGCGTTTTTTCCTTACTTTAGTGCCCAAGCTTGGGCGAAGTTCGCGGAGTACCTTTGTTGTGGCCAAAATAAGGAACTTTTTCTTAAAATTTACGCAGTAAAATGGAGCATTACATGTTATTATAAAACACGATTTCTGAGTCACTGAATCAGCCGCTGGTCAGGCCACATAGGAAAAAACTGATTTCGAGTTTTTAATTTTAAAATGGCTGTAGGCATCCAGTAAACGAATTGCTGAAATATTTTTGCCCAATTCTATCGTTAACCTACTGTAATTTACAATTTAATGATTCTACAGTAATCGACGATTACAAGAAAACTGCTGATTAGAAATTACAAGAAAACTGCTGATTAGAAATGGCTGAGATTGATAATCGTCATGTCTTAGGCTATGCGCGTCATAACAAACACAAAATTTCGGCAGCCGGGTTACTGTAACATTCCGCAATATTGGTTCGGTCGCACAAATTCGGCCCTAAAAAAGTTATTTCTCAAACGCCGCAAGTGATTTTTACATATGTTAATCAGTGTAAAATTCTGGTTTAGAAGCATGAAAAAAGTGTAAAAATCAAATTTCCAAAATTTCCCAATTTCATTTTTTGTTTTATTTTTTCGACCTAATCGAAAGAAATAGAGGACAAAGTGTCGAAATTATATTTTGAGACCTCCGAAAAATAGATAAGGATGTCAAAAATCCATTTTTCTCCGTACAAAGGTTTCTGCTACTTATCTAAATTGGTAGCAAAAACAGTAAAATTTTCGAGCCCGAGAAAACTTCTTTTTCCTTTACGAGGATCAAAGTGTTGTGTAAAATTTATGGGAAATCCGAGCTTAGCACCACATGTCAGTAAAAATCTCGAAAAACAAAATCTTTCGGAAAAATATTTATCGTACACGCGCCAAAGAAGGGCAAGAGTATTGCGAAGGCCGAAGACGGATATGAAACGCCCCAAGCCGGATCGTAATTCGATATCTGACTTTTGTCATAAGCTTCTCAGCTCGTAGGACAAACAAAAATAAAGTGGGTTTATTTCTATTTTTCATTCTCTAATCAATGACGAATTGCACTTTTCGGAAAAAAGGGGTGGGAAGACGGTGGGTGGGGTGAAAATTACATTAAATAAAGAGGGTTGTGGTAAAAAATACAGGTGAAAAATAAGTCTAAAGGTCTTCTGAAGAGATTTTTTTGAATTTTTAAATTTATTCAAGTCTCAAATTTTTGATTTTTTTTTTGAAATTTTTTTTTTTCAAAAATCCAACAAGGCCACAAATATATCGCTAAAAATTTCAGCTCTAGCTCTGCAGGGGCAGCCAATATTTTATATAAAAACTCGGAAAACCCTGATTTTTATATAAAAAAATTTGCTATCAGTCCGTCGGGAAAATAATGTGGATTTTGGGCAGGGAAATTTCCCACCTCATCACAATTGGCAAATGTCATGTCGCCGCTCGCCCTTACGAAGCGATGATGGGCGGTTTCAAGGCGCGACGAATCCACATTATTTTCCCGACAGACTAACAGATATCAAGAATAGTAAAAATAAACTGTAAACAAATAAATAAAAGTGCAAAAAATATCAAATTTAGGCGATTTTTTATCAAAAAATTATAAAAAACAATAAAAATTTTTTGAAATTTTTTATAAAAAACATAAAAAAATTTGCTGATTTATTGAAGTTTTAGTCATCAATTAGGTAATAAAAAACACTACAAATATCCCTAATGTATTTTTCATATGTATTTCCAATTTCAAAAACACTCCACTCCCTTCAAACTGCCACTAAATCCAACTGCCCATTCCTCCGGGCATAATGAGAAAATTGGACACGAAAATGTTAATGAGCACAGTCCAGACACTCTCCTCGAATTTCGATATGTCATTCGCAAAATTTTTAATTCTGGGAAAATTTTGCGCCTCCAAAAAAAAACAGCCGAAAAGTGGGGGAAAAATAAAAAAAAAGTTCGAAGAAGACAATTCGACTCTTCTTGTTGCTCCGCATGAATTAAAACGTCAATAAAAGTGAGAAAGGAGCGGCCCGAGAAGAAGGATTTGAATAAATTTCAACGATGGACACTTGAAGATTCGGCTGGGAGAGACGTTAAGAACTTTTTTAAAGGTTCAAAAATTAGGGAAAAAATTTTAATTAAAATTCAAAAAAAAAAGACGAAGTCAGGCGAAAATTTAGATAAAAAAATTTTGAGGGCGCATGCGAGATTTTTTACTAGCATTTTGCAGAAATAACAGTGGCTTTTTCAATGCGGAAAATTGAAAAATTTTTATCTGCTTTAGAAATGAATAAGGAGTAAGGTATAAAAGTATTAGTAGTATTCTTACTGTAGATGGTGACAATTTTACTAACAGTCTGTCGGAAAAATAATGAGCAACCTTGTCATCGGTTCTAGTCAGCGAGGGAGTATGAAAAATGTGGAGAGACGGTCAGAGGCACAAACTTTTTTGTCCGTACTATTTTAAGATATATAACGAAGAGAGGCGCTGGGAGAAGGGGGGAGGTGGTCACCAATCCAAAGTAAGAAGAGTAGAGGGTTTATTGAGACGAGTTGAGGCAGACACACAAACAACCGAAAATCCGGAGACAGAATTAAAAGATATTGGGATTTTCTGTTGTATTTATACTTTCTGGTTTATTCAAATTTCCTGGGAACTTGGGTGAGAACCCAACAGATATCATATTGAACTTTTTTTGGTAAAGTATTATATTACCCTGTCTGGAAAATAATGAGCACTCTAGCGCATCGAAAATCGCATCGCCGCCGAGAAAATGAATTGTGTTGCGAAAAAAATTGCTTTTCACTTCAGCGACGCGATCGGCGCAGCGACACGGCACTCATTATTTTCCCGACAGACTGATAGGTGAGCCAAAAAGCTTTGACACGCTCGCAATGTACGCCGTCGCGTCACGCTTTCTCACGAGTAAAATTCAAGTGCACGCCGACCACGAACAGTGCGAAATGAGGTCTCTTGAAAAGTGTTAAAAATGCAAAATGCGTTTTTCATTCGCATCGTGTTGATTTGTATGCAAAGCTGCTTTGCGACGCCGCAAAAACACGTCAAGACTTCCTGGACCCCTCCGAGTACAAAAAACCATTTTTGTATTGCAGACTTGGGAGTGATATTGCAAGTTCTCTGTGGGACCGTTTTCCGTTTCTCACGTTTTTTGAGAGTTTGTATACCTATAGGCAGAAAAATAATGATTTTCAAAATGCCTGTCGGGAATATATTGAGCGCAATTTTGCTGCGCCAACGCCTCTGTACAACAAATATCTGTAGAAAAAACGCGTCAATGACGAGCAATCTCAGAGGCCCAACCGTCAATATTTGGCCAAAAGAAGTATTATTAGCCTGTCGGAAAAATAATGAGTAGAGCGTTGCTAACCCGACCGTGTTGCTGAGGTAAAAAGCAATTTGATTTTGCTTCTCGCAGTTCATTTTATTGGCAGCGATGCGGGGGAAGCCCACTTCGCGTGTGGGACACTTCGCGTGAGTCGCTTATCCCACTTCGCGTGCACGCGAAATGGGTTTCACGCGAAGTGGGTAGTCACCGAGGTTCATAGTACCCACTTCGCGTGACTTTCCAAAAATTGCCGGGGCCCACTTCGCGCGTAATTTTTTTGTTCGGTGCCCACTTCGCGTGAGATTTGGATTTTCATTGGAATTCACGCGAAGTGTCTCCGGCAAATTTTAATCAACAGGACACTTCGCGTGTACCGTATTTCGTTGATTTGCCTGATTTTGGCATTCTGTTTTTGCAGGAATTGTGGCCTTTAGAGTGGTAGGAAAGACTTTTCACGGTCAGTCCTGAGGTTTTTATGAAAAACTGAACCAGAGTGATGTATAAAACATAAAAATCGGCATAGTTTGGCATGTTTTATACATTTTTTACACTAAAATAATATAAAATGATTTTTTAGTTTTAAATCTAGAACATGCAGCGAGACTAGTTCGACTTCCTGATGTCTGTCATGCCCCAAGCTTCGCTCAGAACCTATAAAACCCGCCGTTTCACCTCCTCCATACACCGGGTTTTGCAGAATAACATCAAGTCATCATGAATAATATAGTTTTACTCCTGGAATTATTTTTGTTGTATACTGCCGTGTTTGAAGGATGGATTTCTTCCTAAAATGGTCTGTCTGACATGTTAAAAGTCTTTA